TTTTGTGGATATAACCAGGCAACAGCCGGCTCCGGTGTCCCCCGGCCGGCCGCGGGCACGGCTGGGGCCGGGCGGTGCGGGGAGACACCGCCGGCAGCGAACAACGTGGACTTTGCTCCGGTAAACAGAGCTGGAGGGGTGTTACCGGCGCTGCCAGCAGCGGGGAAAAAAGCAGGAGAGAGCTGGAGAGTTGGGGATCCGGCTGTTGGAGATTCGGCTGAGAGGGGTGGTGGGCAGCAGAGAGCAGCTGTGGGGGGCTTCACCTCCTCTCTGCTGCCCTGGGGCTCCTGTGTCTCCTTTCCCGGTGGATTTTCCTTCCCGTCACTCATGGCAGATCTGTCCCAAGGGCACTGCCATCAGCCCGGCACTGCCACCAGCCTGACACTGCCACCAGCTTGGCACTGTCACCAGCCTGACACTGTCACCAGCCTGACACTGCCACCAGCCTGGCACGGCCACCAGCCTGACACTGCCATCAGCCCAGCACTGCCACCAGCCTGACACTGCCACCAGCCTGACACTGCCACCAGCCTGGCACTGCCACCAGCCCGGCACTGCCACCAGCCCGGCACTGCCACCAGCCTGGCACTGCCATCAGCCTGACACTGCCGCGGCAGCTCTGTCCCCGTGCTGTCCCCGCACCATCTTTAGGGACAGGCTGGAGGTACCAGCCCGGTTTCAGGGCTCTGGCAGCGCCCGCAGCTCCATGGGTCGCCCAGTGGAATCCCAGCGTGGACGGGATTTAGGAGCTGGCAGCGCTGTGCCCTCGCTCGCTCTGTTTGCCCAGGGCGCGGGGGTCCGGCTGTGCCGGGGGGAGTGGTGCCAGATCCGGCCCCTCGAGTGCAGGAGCTGCAATCTGATCCCAGGGGGAAAGTGTGATTCATCCCTGGAGCTGGGAGCTCTTCCAGGGAAGGATCCTGGCTCCGAGGGCAGCACCGTGTGCCCACTCCTGCCCTACCCTCGCACGGTGGCCCCGGCCGGGTGAAGGGTTCCGGGATGATTCCCTCCCTGCACATGCCAGGATTCACCCAGGTTTGAGGGACTGGATGCCACCGTTCCCTTGGGAACAACCTGGTTTGCTTGGCCTCCTGCCTCAGATTCCCCATCTGAGAGCTGGAGTGACCCCTAGAGAGGGAGGGGAGCTTGAGGAGGAGGAAGAGTGAAACGTGGGCATGTTGCCACCTGGGGCAGGGATGAAAGGGGAGCCCGAAGGCGCCGTCTGCCCCACAGGGACCTTGGGATCTCCACGGGAGCAGGGCCAGACCGTGTCCCGGTGCCACAGGCGCCATCGGCTCCTGCTTATCTGGGTGCTGGGTCCCCTTTCCCTGCGGGGAGGGGGATGAGGAAACACCCCAGCAGCTCCCGAGGGAGACACCGGCACAGCCAGGGAAGCAGAGGGTTTGAGCGGCGGTTCCAGCTGCGGGGATTCTTGGGGCGTGTCCGCTCCCACATCCCGCTCTTCCGATGTTATCTTTGCTCAGCCCAGATATTGGGATTAAACATCTGCCTGTCCCGGCAGCTCCCCCGGCACCCCGGAGTGTCACCTGTGTCACACCCGAGTCATCTCACACTCCAGGGCTGGGGCTCGCACTCG